CACACACACACACTCACATACACACACACTCACCAGCTCCAGGTTCTCCGGGCAGTTGGAATGTGATCCCGGCACCCATCTCAGTCTGCCCGTAACCTTCCAACACCTGCCGGACACAGACAAAACAAGGACATAAACACGTCATAGTCAGTAGTACTTGACAGTTATCGTACCACAGGTATACTTTATATTATATTTGCGAACGTTCACACTTTGGTCGCTTAAAACTTCCGAATCACTTAACTTTCTTATTTGGAAAAAAAATGTATGGTGGTTCAGAATCATTTAAAGTGTGCACAGTCTTATTGAGGAGTCTGAAGTCAATGTAGTTAATTTTCAGTTTTTCATTAGTTCCCTTTAGATCTAATGTTGGGAAAGTTCGTCTTCTAAGACGTCATTGTAAACAAGTGAGGCTTCCGTTCACATGTAGTGTGCACTGGTTTCACAATGACTTGACAATCGTTTCTTATGAGTCCGTTCATCGAACGGGATACCCAGCCAGTACTTTATATATGCTTTGCATTAGACATTGTCTTCCAAATGCCCACTCTTATGTGCGTTAGTATTGACTATTGTACTCCAAATTGTCCATTATCTTGTGTACGTTTGCATTGACTATGGTGCTATAAGTTTCACATTACATGTATCTTATGTATGCCTTATGTTGATTAAGTTACAATAAATGGCATATTGTCTTATTTATGTACACGTTGTATTGACTAGGGTACTCCAAATTTTCCATTACCTGATCATGTTTTGTTTGTATTCCAAATTTTTCATTTTTTTAATGCACGTTTGCTTTAACTATGGTACTCCAAGTTTCTCATTATAAATTATTATCTTATGTACACTGAAAAGAAACGTAAGGAGCCACCAAACGACTACTCATCCCAATACAGATTGTTGGATTATTATTTAACTTTTTTTTTTAAAAAATTTTTTTTTGGGGGGGGCGAGTTTGCAAGAACAGATGGTTAAGACAAAGTGACCAGCGGAGATATCCCACACATACCACACATCCCATGGCACAGCGCAGAAATGTCATGACGTCACTGGAGAGAGGGGCTGAGCCTGAAATGAGGACCCTCACTCTCCCTCCCAGCTTCTCCTGGACTTTGCTGAACACCAGTTTGTCCCAGAAACTGTCTTTTCTGATGATCCCTCTGAAATCAAAAGTTTAGTTTTTTGCTTTAAAAAAACATGTCCACAGAGTAAAGATGATTCACGAACGAACAGGAAAAAGAAACAAATAACTCTAGAAGCAAAAGAGGTTTCAATGAACAAACAAACATAGAAAAAAAGACAGAAAAGGAAAGACAGAAGGAAATAAAAAAGGAAAATAGAAAGCTTTAGTTTTAGTAAGAGTTTTACAGCACTTGAAAAACACAATAAGTTCATATAAGCGCCGAAGATTAGAAGTGTTACAAGAGAGAAACAAACACAAAAAGGAGGAGAGATAAGGATGATACTGATAGACGTTTGATAGAAAAGAAGGATCAAACAACACCTGAGCACCCACCAACCACCCACACACAAAGAGAGAGAGAGAGAGAGAGAGAGAGAG